GAGAGAGAGAGAGAGAGAGAGAGAGAGAGAGAGAGAGATGCTCAGAGAGAGATGCTCAGAGAGAGATGCTTGGAGAGAGATGCTTAGAGAGAGATGCTTAGAGAGAGATGCTTAGAGAGAGATGCTTGGAGAGAGATGCTTAGAGAGAGATGCTTAGAGAGAGATGCTTAGAGAGAGATGCTTGGAGAGAGATGCTTAGAGAGAGATGCTTAGAGAGAGATGCTTAGAGAGAGATGCTTGGAGAGAGATGCTTAGAGAGAGATGCTTAGAGAGAGAGAGATGCTTAGAGAGAGAGAGAGAGAGAGAGAGAGAGGGAGAGAGGGAGAGAGAGATACTTAGAGAGAAAGAGAGAGAGAGATGCTTAGAGAGAGATGCTTAGAGAGAGAGAGAGAGAGAGAGAGAGAGAGAGAGAGAGAGAGAGAGAGAGATGCTTAGAGAGACACGGAAAAAGTAAGACACACAAACGCAAAAGCAAAAAATGGCACCTACTGATGCACGGAAAAAAGAAAAGCCACCAATCTTCTGTCGTGTACTATTACAAGATACTAGGATCTATCGTCTGCCAGTTGGGCACTGTCTACTCTGCCTGGAATGCCCATGTTTAGTTTTCGTAGAGGTTTTACGGCGCTCGCAACTGCATAAGGTCATTTGAGCGCCAGAAGATTTAGAGGTGTTACAAGAGAGTAACAAACATAAAAAAGAAGAAGGGGAGAAAAGGACGATAGATGTTTGATAGGAATGAAGAAGCAAACGACACCAGAGCACCCGCCAACCACCTACTTCGACTATCAAGGCACCCCGGAAATAGTAGTTCACAAGAGAGTGACAAACATGCAAAAGAAGTAGAGGAAAAATGACGATAGTAAGGATGAGGAAAGAAAAAGCAGCAGTTCCCCCTATGTTGTTATAGCACAGTATGAGCATGACATTGATAAATCAGTCCATTTACAATTCTACTGAGCATAAGAACATGTAGTTAATATCCCCCCTTCGGGATAGGCCTAAAGACTTTTCAGTCAGTAGTACTGCCCTGGTGATAGATAGACAGATATTTCAAATAAATCAATGTGAAAGAATGCGTCTAATTACCATTCCATTCACAAATTATCGACCTTCGCCAGGCTAACAAGGCACATGCCACTTTCCTCTTTCGTCCCCTTCCCACACCCTCCTCCCTACATCTCTCAC